CCCCCCCTTCATGTACAGATAAATTATATAAACGCGCTTTGATACGAGAGGTGCTGTGGCCTTGGGGTCAGAGGTCGGGGGTCAGAGGTCGGCGGGGGGGTCACAGGGCGCGGGGCGGGCCGGGTGCGGGGCGCATCGCCCCTCCCAGGAGCGCTTCACTCACTTCCGGTGCGGCTTTAATCTTCTCCCTCAAGTCCACTTGGCTGCACTCACTTCCGCCCCTCGCCCCACCTTCTTCCGCTTTCAGCAGCTATCACTTCCGCTTTTCGCCCTACTCACTTCCGCTGCCGCGCCCCTCCGATTCGCGACTTTCTCCGTCACAATTCTCCCGCCCCGCCTCTCGCGCATGCGCGTCGCCCCTCTCCGCCTCGTTACCGCCCGCCGTGCGCGCGCACCCCGCCCTGCGTCGTGACGTCAGTGCGTACGTTACGCTCGTGCGTGCGTACGCGCGCGGGCGCGGATCGCCATGGAGGCCTCGGCGGGCGGCGGGGCGGCGCGGCGCTGGTATTTCAGCCGCGAGCAGTTGGACCGCAGCCCCTCGCGGCGAGCCGGTCTGGATCCCGACAAGGAGCTCTCGTACCGCCAGCAGGCCGCCAACCTGCTGCAGGACATGGGGCAGCGTCTCAACGTGTATCCGGCCGCGGTAGGCCGCGAGGCCTGAGCTCGAGTTGGGGCCTGGGCCGGCGGCGGGGCGGGAGCGGGGATCGGCGGTGGGGTGGGGGTGGGAGAAGCGGGCCGCGGGGAGGCGGCCGGGATGCGGGGCGGTGCGGGGAGGGCTGGCGGACCGGCCGACCGGCCGGGGATCGGAGGCGAGCCGCGTTTCCTTAACGCCGCCATCAGCTCCCAGCTCACCATCAACACCGCCATCGTGTACATGCACCGCTTCTACATGGTGCAGTCCTTCACTCAGTTCCACCGCAATGTAAGTGGGGCCGGGGCTCTTTGTGTCTGCATTCGGGCGCCGAGGGCCCTTTTTTCCCTCCTGGGGGGGTTTAGGCTTTGTTTAACGAACGGCCGTTTGCCTGAAGCTGTGAAAAACGGCGTAATTCGTTCGGTTGGTTTTTGTACCTTTGGGTGGGATGAGGGGGAACGGCTTTAAAGTGAAACGGGGGCGGAGGCGAGGTGTGAGGAGGAAATAATTCCCTCGGGGGGCGGCGAGGCCTCGGGGCTGCTGCCTGCAAGGTGTGGGTGCCCTCATGTGGGTGGGCGCGGATGGGGCTCTGCCGTGCTGATGGGAGCAGCCCAGGGCTGGGGGGGGGGGGCTTCGGGGGGCTCCTTTCGACCCTTCCCGTTCTCCCATCTCACGAATGGTTTTTCTCTTCGTTTCGTCCTGTGAAGTCGGTGGCTCCTGCGGCGTTGTTCCTGGCTGCCAAAGTGGAGGAGCAGCCCAGGAAGCTGGATTATGTGATCAAGGTGGCCCACGCCTGCCTGCACCCCCAGGAGCCGCCCCCCGACACCAGGAGCGAGGTGAGCAGTGCGTGTGGGGCCCTGCATCACAGCCACGGTGACGTTGGGATCCTCAGAGCGATGCTCCGCGTCCTGGGGCGCTCAGAGGCGGCTCCCCGTTCACCCACCTCTCCACTGCAGGGAGCTTTTGGGGTTCTGTGCGGCAGCAGGAGTTTCTTACCCGATTTGTGGCAGGAATTCTTCTGTTCTGCTCTGCTGTGCCAGCCTGGCTCAGGTGCCCTCCATGGCGCCGTGTTAAAAGCTGGATGCTTTCTTTACCCCAACCTGCACTGCTGGGATGTGGGGCAGAGCGTTGGTGCCGTGCGGTTTGGATCTGCTCTGCCCCCACGTGTTTAACGCTGGTTTGGTTCGAAGTGCTGCCCCACAAAGCAGCTGGAAGCGAGCAGCCAACCCAGGGGAAGGGGAGCCTTTAGCCTCCGAAAGCTGGAGGGCAAATCTTCCTCCTCCTGCTGGGAGGGAGGGGGCTGGCAGATTCCCCTCTGTTCTTTCTGCCTCCCTGGGAAGGGCTGCTGGGAAGGGCCCTTAGGAAGGGGCAGCTTTAGGTGCACTGCTGTGCTGGGAGTAACTCGCCTGTCCTCTCAACCCCAGGCCTACCTGCAGCAGGCGCAGGACCTGGTCATCCTGGAGAGCATCATCCTGCAGACCCTGGGTGAGTTCTTCAGCCGGGTGCTGCATGAATCCCAGAGCCAGGAGCCGCGACCCCCAGCTGGGGGGCAGGAGAGCAGCAGCCCGGCTCTGTTCTCAGCCTGTTTCCCGCCCAGCTCAGCGCTCTGTGCTGTGATTCCCATCGCCGTCGCTGCTCCCAGGGTGGCGGCGCTGCCTGAGCTCAGTGCTGCTCCAGCCCTGCGGCCGCGAATGGCGGCTGTGCGGCCTTGGTTCCTTCTGACCTCATTTAATTTGGGCCGTCGTCCCTCGCTGCTGCGCTTTGTGTCGCCCACGGAGCCCCGGCCCGAGCTCTGCTCCGTCCCAAAGCCACCTTCCTTAACCTCGGGGTACAGCCAGAATATTCTGGAATGTTCTGCCCGGAAAGGACTGGGATCTGTTGCACACATGGAGCAGAGGCTTTTTTTTAATTTTCTTGGGTGTTTTTCGGCCTTTAAACCATAAAGCACAAATTGAATAGGAAACCAAAGGGAGGACGGAGGCGCGGTGACGCGAGTGCTGCAGGCGGCTTCAAAGGGAAAAGCCTGCTTCCCTTTGGCTTTTGGGGTGACAGAAATTCCTCTGAGCAGCTGCCATTGTCTTCTGCTTCCTCCCAGCTGCTGTAGAGGCTTTGTCCTGCTATTTTTAAAACGCTTCGTGGCCGTTTCGTTTCCAGTGAGGTCTTTCAAGCGCTGAAGGCGTTGAGCTGCTCGGAGGCCCCGCAGCAGCAGCAGCAGCAAAGACCTTCGGGCTGCTCTGTTCTGCCCGCTCCAAGCAGGGCTGGAGGGGGGAGGTTTGTGGGCAGGGGGCTCTGCCCGCTGTCTGACGGCCGCGTCTCCGTCCTCTTGCAGGCTTTGAGATCACCATCGACCACCCGCACACCCACGTGGTGAAATGCACGCAGCTCGTCAGAGGTGAGAAGCCCTCAGCTGCTGCTGGGCGGCGCTGCGGGGGTTTCTGGGGGCTCCGGCTGCCCTGAGGCCCGGCGCCGAGCAGCACCGAACGCAGCCCTGCCCCACCTCCATTCCGACATCAGGCAGCTCTGCTCACCCCCCCCCCCTCCCCTTCTCTCCCCCCGGGGCTCTCGGCCCCCCGCCCCCTGTGGGGCTCCCCCA